GGGCCCCCCCAGCGGCGCTTCCGGCGCCGCCCCTGGCGCGCGGAGCGCGCCAGGGAGGGGGGCCCAGCGCGGATCCAAGAGATCCGCGCCGAGCGCCAGAAGTTTATGTTTATGGCGTTTGTTCTTCTTCTAGATGCTCCACTGCTCCACGCGAGGGCCCCACTCAAAGAAAGGAGGCAGCCCCTCCTGCGGAGTATTGCCCACATGCGCCGTGTTCCATGCGAGCGCGCGCGGCGCCACGGCGAGAGCGTCTCGTGCTGACACCGGCATGTGCCTCCATCTGGGCAGCTCCTTGACGTGTCAAGCTTCATTAGGGGAATAAACGCTAACATAATGGAGGATGATGATTAATCAATGACTGGGGGTCGTGTTCACGCGGCGGCGCCCGGGATGACGATTAGAACAAAACGGCCGCGGGCTGGAAAACTATTTCTTTTAATCGTTCTCCTCCAGTCAGAACATCATGCAGAAATAGCAGAAAACTATGATTTTAAGCGTTCTCTCACATTTTTATATATAAATCGTCATCCCGCATTAAACATGATAACTCGGTAGTCCGCACGAATTCTTCGGATCGGCGCTGGAGCCCCCTGGCGGGCGCGCTCCGCGCGCCAGGGAAGGTGCCTCAGAGTCTTTGGTTTATGTCATGCTTATATCATTGTTAGTCCCCCATTCATGGTCATGCGTGGCGAGGATGTCCCAGGCGAAATACCAGGCACGCCCTATCGACACGTCTGGCAGCGCGACGAGGACGGTTTCTAGCAGAGAGAAGACTTGACGTATATGTAGATGGTGGCGGAGGAGGACTGGTTGATCTGATAAACGAGGGTGAGGCGGAGGAAGGGGAGCGTGAGGCAAGAGCAGGAGGAGGAGGAGGAGGCACAAAGAGTGATTTTAATGTCAGCTTGTGATTAACAAAAGGGTGCCCCGCCCCCGGGGCTGATGAATAGACCCCGCGGGGCGCGACATTTTCTTTTCAATCACGCGCGCCAGCGGGTCGTCGCTGGCGCTGCCGAGGGGATCGTGTACCGCCCTGCATGACAGCCTCAAAACGGTTGCCTTTCGTATAGGAGTTGTTGTAAGGGTCGTACACATCCGAGGCGAATTTTCGTTCCCCCTCTCAGGCGTCGTCGTCGTCCTCCTCCTCGTCGACTACAGCGGGCCTGCGCAGCAGCACCCACCGCCCCATATAGTGCATCCGCAGTGCGTCGTCGTTGTCGCCGCCGTCCGCCGTCCGCCGTCCGTCGTCCTCGTCCTCGTCTCGTCGTCGTCGTCGTCGTCGTCGTCGACGACGAAGAGAGCGGCCGCTGGAAACGGGCGCTGGCAGGGCGGGGGACGGCGGCGACGACGGCGACAGAGCGGGGGAGGAGGACTACCCGCCTTGTTCGGGTCGGATGAAAAGGCTGGGGAAGGAAAGGGGGGTTGCAAAGCCTGCTGCGCGCAGCTGGTTTCGGTCGCCCCGCCGAAGGGCCAGTCCTCGACGCATGGCCGCTTTCGGCGCCAGGAGGCAAGTTTAAAATCGGCGACGCGAGCTGCTTGGCAATTCCCCCCTTTGTGCGTCCAGCTTTCGTCCAACCCGCCTTGCCCGCAGGCCCGCATCGGTTCGACAGAAAGAGGGGCGCCCTGGCTCGCCCTTGCCCCCAAACACCCCCCCACTTGCCCCTCGTTGACGGCTGGCCGTCGGCGCTAATCACTGGCGCCGCTCCGTTGATTTTCAATCTGGCGGGCGCCACCCCGCGATTCGCCCGAGCACCGGAACTATTTGTTTTAATGCGCGCCCCCTAGTGATTTGTTAATCACAAGCGGACATTCGGACTTTGTAGCAGAATCACAAAGAGGAGGAGCAAAGAGGAGGAGAAGGAGGAGGAGGAGGAGGAGCGATTGGTCCCTCATCTGCGGCGCAAGCAACACCAGTATTCTAACTACTTGTCGGCGTTCTCTGCCCGCGCGATTCAACTGATACCCACATGAGGTCCCTTCGCTCCGGCGCTTGCGTCTTCAGTCGTACCCTCGTCGGTGAGGTTTGTTCTCGTTGCGCCGAGGGCGGCCTCACACAGGCGAGCAGCAGGGATTGGCCCTGGATGGGCTGTTCGGGCCATTCCAGGGGAAGGGGGGGGAGGAGGAGGAGGAAGAAAAAGAAAACGACGACGACCACCACCACCACCACCACGACCACGACCACAACCACGACCACCGCGGCGACGAGAAAGAGGAGGGAAAGGACAAGGAAGACGATGAGGGCAAGGAAGAGGACGAGGAGGAGGAGGAGGAGGAGGAGGAGGACAACGAGGACGAGGACAGAGCCCTCAAAATCGCTTCTTTGAGCCCACTTGGGGCTCGTTTCTGGGATCTTGTGGTCCTCATGTGGCTCTTTTTGGGGTTCTTGGAGCATTCTTGGGGCACTCTTGGGGCTCCCTCAGTGGTCTGTTCGGAGCCCTGGAGGGCCTCTTGAGGCCATCGTGGAGGGCGTCGGCGAAACGACCGGGATCGCAACGTTTGCCCCCGCCCCCCCGCCCCCCCCCCCGGTGCCCTCGAAAGCGCCCCATTAGGGCACTCCTGGGGCTCTCCTTGGGCGATCTTGGGCACTCTTGAGGCCGTCTTGGGGGCCTCTTGGGCCCCAAATGGGACTGTCTTGGGCCATCTTGGGGCCATCTTCAGGCCTCCCAAGCGCATCGCAAGCGAAAAGGCGAGAAGGCCAGCATCATTGACTTTCCGAAGGCGTTTGCAAGATTTGGGCCTCGTGGGGGGGGTCTTGAGGGGGCTCCGAAAGCACTTGGAGCAGTTATGCGGCCCTCGTTGCGCCTCTTGGAGCCACGTCGGAAGCTATCTTGAACCATCTTCGACTACCTTGCTTGAGCCGCCTTGGAGGCCATCTTGGAGCATAGGAGGCCCTCTTGGAGCCATCCTGGGCCATCTTGAGCGCCCTGACCGATCGCGCGCCCCCCCTCTGAAAACAAACCTAGGGAGGGGCCCCGGAGGGAAGAGGGTCTTGGAAGAGGAAAGAAAGAACCCGGTAGGCCACCTTAGGCCAAATGGCTGGTGGGACACTTGCCGCGTCGCGTAGCACCACAAGCCCATCCACAATCGATGCACATGAGAGTTGCTTGGATGATGATGTTGAAGGGGGTGGGAGATGTGGAGGACGATAAATGGAAGAAGCAGGAGGAGGAGGAGGAGGAGGAGGATAAGGAGGAGGAGGAGGAGGAGGAGGAGGAGGAGGATGCTCAGGAGGAGCAAGGAAGAAGGAGGGGGAAGGAGATGGATGAGCACGAGGAGGAGGAGGTGGAAGAGCAGAAGGAGGACGAGGATAAGGACTGAGTGGAAAGAGCATATTGGATGATTCTTGGGGCCGTCGTGGGGTCTTCTTGGGGCCCTCTTGGGGTCCTCCTGGAACTATCTCGGGTCCCTCTTAGGGACTGTTTTGGGACGTATGGGACCTCTTCGGGCTCTTTGGGGGGTCTGGGAATCTTCTTGGGGCAATCTAGGGGCCCATTGCTCGAAAGGGAGAGGGGCAATTTGGCCCCCACCCACCCGCGGAAGCCGAACAGTTGGCTCTCGGGGCCTCCTTGGAGAGCTCCTGGGAGCCTTTTGGGGCTGTCTTCGGGCCCTCCTGGGTTTCTCTCGGGACTCCCTGGGGCCATCTTGAAGCCACACTATCTACGGCCTCAGCGGCGGAGCGCCGCTGGGGACGGCGGGTCCCCGCGCAGAGGGGCCGCGCGGGGGGGGGGGGGGGGGGCGCCCAGCACCGGCAGGAGGAGGAGGAGGAGGGGGGAGGAGGAGATGGAGGAGGAGGGGGAGGAGGAGGAGGAGGAGGAGGAGGAGGAGGAGGAGGAGGAGGAGATAGAGGAGGAGGAGGAGGGGGAGGAGAGGCGAAAAGGCGAGAAGGCAGCAATCACTGATTTCCGCGAGGTTTAGGGACGAGGTTTGGCTCCTCTTGGGGCGGCGCTCCGTGAGCACCTGGAGCCATGTTGAACGGCCGCCTCGGGGCCTCTTCGGCGCAGGCTGTCGCGTCATGGGTGCAGGGCCGAGGGTCAGAGAGCGCCTTCCTCTTCGGGGCCACCAGTCAAAAAGACAATTCTCGTGTTGGGAGGATCGGGCTTGGAGAAACAGTCAGGTCATGCATATTATCGAGGACGCTGAAGGTGTTTATCATGCACTGGAAACCCCCAAAAAGGGACGTCAAGGTGGTCAAACGCCTCGCCGGTTAAGCAGAAGTAGATGTGCCAAGTCCAACCGTGCGTTCATGTCCAAAGTTTTGGCTTGACGATGGGCATGGTGCTTCAATTTCAGGTTGATCGAGCAGGTCGGTGGCGCCCCTTGACGTCCGTTTGGGGTGTTCTGCAGACCTGACCCCCGAGCCCTACTCAAAGCCTAACTCGAGCCGCCAACGATGGACACCGGGAATCAACGCAGTCACCAGCCAGGTGCGCGACGCCCGCGAGAGGAGCCGCGAGTGCCAGGGCATCCCCAGCGTCCACGTCAAGCAGCAGTGGAAAACGATCGCGGGGCGCCCGCGCACGGTCACACAGTTTCGCCGCAGAGGGCGCTCTGCATGGTCTTTCGTGGAGGTGGTAGGCCCTCCTCCTCCTCCTCCTCCTCCTCCTCCTCCTCCTCCTCCTCCTCCTCCTCCTCCTCCTCCCCTGCCAGCGCGGCAGAAGGAAGGCCGTCACAGGCCTGGACGCGTGGGGGCAATGTGCGAAAACCCATGCCGCCCCTGACAGCGAAACATTCCAAGTGATCGCGGAGCGCTCCACCATGCTCCAGCTTTAGCAGCACCGTGTATCTTGTAGCTCGGCTCTTGTGACAGTGGTGGCCGGAGGGGTCGGCATTGACCCGGCAGAGTGGGGGGGGTCTAGTAACAAGGAGCGGTGATGAACCCTTCCCCGACAAAGCGAAGAGAGGGGATTCGGAAGAGGACAGGGAAGAGCCCCTATACCACCAGCGCCCAGAGGGCTGGTGGTATGATGGCTCCGGGGCAAAGATTTCAGCGGCCGCCCCAGGAGCGACGGGGCTGCACTTGGAGGCTCCTGCCCTTTGCAGCAGCGGAAGTCCGTCGGTTGCTCTGCGATGTCGGCTGGGAGCGGCCGCGTGTCCGCGGCGAGCAGCCAGTCGACAGGCCTCTCAGAGGGCAGAAGGTTGATGCTTCCGCCATCCTCTATGTTGCAGATCTTGGAAGGCGACTTCAGCGGAAAGCTCGCCAAGGTGTTATTGGTCAACGCGGCGCAGGGCCAGTACAAAGTTCGAGTTGTTCCAGACGATGTGGTCACGATGGTGTCCTGCAAGGACGTGCAGCTGGCACCCATCAGCGAGCCTAGCACCTCCCCAGGAAACAGGGCTTCTTCGCCAGGGCTAGCCCCTATCTGGTCCCCCCGGTTGGAGGATGACATCTTCTTGCAGGCAGCGTCCACACAGACTGTTCTTGAGCAAGACGTGACCGAGTAGTGTAATTGGCACCATTGCGGGACAGACCTTTGGACGGCTCTGTTTGGCCAGGGCGACGATTCGCTCACGGGCGGGTTGGCCTGGGCCTTGGAGGTGACACGGATGGCTGCGGCAGAGAGAGAGGAACTCCGGGACTCGGGAGCTGCAGCCCCCGAGGTCGAAGCCGACCCTGGACCGCAGACTGGACAAACCCACGGCGTCGGAAGTTTCGTCCCGCGGCTTCCTTTTGAATCGTTTGCTAGACTGTCTGTAGATCCGGGCGCGGGCCCGCTGTACCGAATAGTTAGTCGTGGTGTGTTCTGGAGCGCTGAGCTGGAGCGCCAGAGGCGGAGAGAGGAGTGGATGTTTGGTCCAGTCCCTGGGCAAGGCACGCCTGTCCCCCCGCCCCCGTCGCCTCACAGAGTCATCCCAACGGCCCCCGCTCCCACCCTCGATCGCTCCCTCCCTCCCTTCCCTTCTCCTCGACCCCCCCCGACTCTCCCAAAGTTGCCCCTCCCTCCCCCCTCCTCTCAACCTCCCCGCGGGCCCCTGGACGTCTCTCTGGAGACTTCGGCGGAGGGTTGCACGGGGCTAGGACGAGGACAAATCCGTTCCTCCTCCTCCTCCTCCTCCTCCTCCTCCTCTCCTCCTCCTCCGCCTCCTCCGCCTCCTCCCCCCTCCCCCTCCCTCCCTCCTCCTCCTCCTCCCCTCCTCCTCCTACTCCTCCTCCTCCTCCTCCCTCACTCCTCCTCCTCCTTCCTCCTCCTCCTCTCCTGACCTCCTCCTCCCCCTCCTCCCCTCCTCCTCCTTCCTACTCCTCCTCCTCCTCCTCCTTCCTCCCTCCTCCTCTCCTCTCTCCCCCCTCCTTCTCCTCCTCCTCCTCCTCCTCCTCCTCCTCCTCCTCCTCCTCTTCCTCCTCCTCCTCCTCCTACTCCTCCTCCTCCTCCTCGTCCCTCCTGCGTGTTCCAGAAAGCTCTCAGAGCGTTCCGGAATGCACTGAGAAGGCCTCGAGACATCCTTCAGAGCCGCCAGATCTCAGAGATCCTCGATGCATCCTCACCCGATTGTACCCTCGTCCTGGCCTCGTCTTGCCCTGATTATTGGATACTAGAACTTTCCAGTCGCGACCGACGAGATCGGTCGCTACCGATTTTGCTTCGAATTTCGGTATCGGTCGCCACCGGCTTCCTTCAACATCGGTCGCGACCGATCGGCCGCGATCGGTGGCGACCGGCCGCGACCGATTTTGGGATCGGTCGCGATCGGTCGCGACCGATTTTTGGAGTGCCGACCGGTCGCTACCGCTCGCGACCGAACAAACATCGGTATCCAATGATTTTGGCAGAGCGTTCCGGAACGTTTTCAGAGCGTTCCGGAATGCTCTGAGAAGGCCTCAAGACATCCTCCAGAGCCGCCGGATATCAGAGATCATCGATGCATCTTCACCCGACTTTATCCTCGTCCTGGCTTCGTCTGTAGTTGATCGACCACAGAATCGATGTACCCCAAAATTGAGCAGAGGAGGACAAGGTACCCATACCCCTACCCTTCGGTCGTGTTCCCCTCCTGGGGCCTCCTGGGAGGCCCTCGTCGCCACGGCTGGATTCGCCTCGAAATTCTTGTCAGAACGCACCACGGGCGAGGTCCCGGGGGTACTTTATTAGTGAATTGAATTCGCTTTAGGGTTTTAACAACTAACTGGTCGCAGCCACGCAGAGGGCGTGCGTAGCGACGCCCCAAATGCTCGGTCTCCAGCACTTCTGCGTGGCGGCGCCCCCGCAGGTACGCAGAGGGCACGCGTGGCGACGGGGGCGTCGCCACGCAGAGCTTCCACAGACCAAACACTTTGAAAACCAAGTGTTCCCACTACGAAAGTAGCGGTGTCGGTACCTTTTGACTTCCCCAGTTGATTTTTTCCGGTCGATCCCATGAGAACATACGTAGGAGTGTTTTCCGTAGATTTGTGGAGCTTTGTGTGTGTGCATGTTTCGCAGCTTCGGGGGGGAATCAATTTCGGGGTACATCGATTCTGTAGTCGATCCCCGACTGGGAAGCTCGTCGATCCTCGGCCGTCGTCTTCGATGTCTCCTCCGACCCTCGCAGAAGGAGAGCGTCGGCGGCGAACCCGGGGGGGCAGTGAGAAGGGGCGGGCCTCCTCGGAAGGCTCGGAGGTCCCCTGGCCTTCCGAGACGTGTTCTAGGATCTCCCCGAAGGCGCCGACAACTTCTCAGCAGGCGCGAGGGCTCCTGAGAAGTCCCGCCGCCTTCTGAGGAGGCCTTCTCCTACTCACTTCCCCCACTCCTGGGGAGGGCGGGAAGAGGACGAGGAGCGAGATGGGGGAGGGGGAGGAGGAGGAGGAGGAGGAGGAGGAGGAGGAGGAGGAGGAGGAGGAGGAGGAGGAGGAGGAGAGGAGGAGGAGGAGGAGGATTTCCCCCCCCCCGCGGGGAGGGGGCGGCCGAAGGCGGCGGGCCCGCGGAGGCGAGGCTGGCCGCGCGGAAGCGCGCGCCACCTGTCGCCGTAGTGCACCGGCCCGGGCCTCCGGGGAGGCCCTCGCGGCCGCGGCCGGACTCGTGGCGGAGCTCCGGCCAGAGCACACCAATGGAGGGGGTCACCGGAGCAGCGGTGTCGGCAGCGTGTTGTCCCCCCGTGGGAGAAGGAGGGGGAGGGGGAGGGGGGGTGGAGGAGGAGGAGGAGGAGGAGGAGGAGGAGGAGGAGGAGGAGGAGGAGGAGGAGGAGGAGGAGGAGGAGGGGGAGGAGGAGGAGGAGGAGGAGGAGGAGGAGGAGGAGGAGGAGGATGAGGGGAGAGGAGAGGAGAGAGGAGGAGGAGGAGAAGGAAGAGGAGGGGAAGGGAAGGGGAAACAAGATACTAGAATAAGAAGAAAGACGAAGAAGAAGAAACAGGAGAGAGGACGACGAAGCGGGAGCAGGGGGAGGAGGAGGAGGAGGCGGGAAGAGTAGGAGTAGGAGGAGAGGAGGAGGAGTTGG